GCTTGGGCCCTGCACCCCATGGGAGACCAGGAGAAGCACCTGGCTTCTGCCATCTGATCAGCGCGGTGCACTGGCCGCAGCACACCAGCAGCGGCGGCCATTGGAGGGTGAACCAACGGCAAAGGGAGACTTTTCTCTCTGTCTCTCTCTCACTATCCACTCTGCCTGTCCAAAACAAAACAAAACAAAACAAAACAACAAAAAAAAACTGTCCATTCTCCATGTGTTCTTGTTACCTTTGTTGAAAATCAGTTAGTTGATCATAAATATGTGGGTTTATTTCTGGATTCTGGACTGCTCCACAGGTCAAAGTGTCTGTTTTTAATGCCAGTACCATGCTGTTTTGATTATTATGACTTTGTAATAGACTTTGAAGTTAGTGGTGTATCACCTCTAGCTTTCTAGCTTTGTTCCTTTTGCTTAAGATTACTTTGATTATTCAAGATGTTCCATATGAATTCAGAGTCAGCTGGCCTAGTGACGAATCCTGCCTGGCTCTACCTTGTCCTCGCCTCTCTGAATTGCAGACTACTCATTTGTTCTTATTGCATTAGCTTTATTTCATCAAATAAAAGTAGCCTTGGGTTGTTTAAAATGCACAGTTAAGGAGCAGGCATTTAGCCTAGAGATTAAGACCTTTATATTACAAATCAGAGTGTGTGATTCTGTTCCCAGCTGTGGCTCCTGCCTCCAGATTCCTGCTAATGCACACCCTGGGAGGCACTGGTGATGAGTCAGGTAATTGGATTCCTGCTACCCACAAGGGAGGCCTGGACTGCAATCCCAGCTCCCAGATTGAGCCCAGCCCCAACCATTGCAGGCATTTGGAGAGCAAACTAGCAGAGGGGAGCAATCTGCCTGTCTTTGTCTCTCTGTCTCTCAAATGAATAAACAAAAACTTAAAGAAACACAATGCTCAATTATTTTATGTTCTAATAACAAATTTTCCAAATGCTACAATTGTAAGATGGCAACCATTGGGGCTAGCGCTGTGGCGTAGCAGGTAAAAATGCTGCCTGCAGTGCTGGCATCCCATATGGGTGCCAGTTCGGATCCTGGATGCTCCAACTTCTGATCCAGTTCCCTGGTATGGCCTGGTATGAGAAAGCAGTAGAAGATGGCCAAAATCCTTGGGCCCCTGTACCCATGTGGGAGATCCAGAGGAAGCTCCTGGCTGCTAGCTTCAGATAGGCCCAGCTCTGGGCCGTTGCAGCCATCTGGGGAGAGAACCAGCAGATGGAGAGCCTCTTTCTCTCTCTCTGCCTCTCTTTAACTCTGTCTTACAAATAAATAAATAAATCTTAAAAAAAAAAAAAAAAAAGATGGCAACCACTGTGAATTGAAGGCTTGCTTCCAAAATATTAAAATGTGAAAAATGCTCCTCTTCAAATAAATACAATATGATGGTGTTTACCAAAGGGAAAAAATATAACATAAAGGAAAATCCAATGGTCATTGAAAATAAGCAAATATAAGTGAAGAAAATCAGACTGGCATAAAAAAAATTACGGATGGAATTAAAAAGATAATGAAGAGGCTGGCGCCGTGGCTTACTTGGCTAATCCTCTGTCTGTGGTGCCAGCACCCCAGGTTCTAGTCCCGGTTGGGGCACCGGATTCTGTCCCAGTTGCTCCTCTTCCGGTCCAGCTCTCTGCTGTGGCCCGGGAAGGCAGTGGAGACCTGCATGGGAGACCGGGAGGAAGCACCTGGCTCCTGGCTTTGGATCGGCGCAGCGTGCTGGCCGCAGTGGTCATTTTGGGGGTGAACCAACGGAAAAAGGAAGACCTTTCTCTCTCTCTCTCTGTCTAACTCTGCCTGTCAAAAAAAAAAAAAAAAGATAATGAAGATATAATGGGATGGAAATCCAAGTATTTCAATATCTGCATAATTTTGATGAAGAAAATGTAAATGGTTTGTGCATATTTGTAAGTGAACAAAAAGAATTAGGGTTACTTCCCTGGAATGCTGCATTGGTGTCACATAATGTTACCAAGTGCCCACTCCCCATTTTAGAATGACATATAGCAGAGAGTGGCAGCTGTGGCAATCTAAGTTACACACAGAGGCAGCCAGCACTGGGGACCACCCAACTGGGCTAGAGTACAGACTACCTCTGAGTGAGCTCCTGGGTGAAGTCAAATGAGGCAGTGACATAAGAAGGCCTTTGGGGAAGTCTGGAAAATACATAAACCTAAGCCCAGATGCCTGAGAATTCAGGGGAACTGTGGGCATGTTTAATTCTCCTGCTGACCCTGGTGACACTGAGATCAAAAACAATATGTGGACCCAGATTGCCTTCACTTTTCCACCAACAAATCTGTCCTAGGGGAAGAGTGCCAGGAGGAGGAAATGCGTACTGAAAGGAGAGAGAGGCACCCTTCAGCAGCCCTTCTTGGGGATGAGAGGAGAGCAGGTCAACCCGCCCTCACAACCACGCAGGAGGGTGGGGCAGGGAGTGGAGTGTTGCTGAGGGAGCAAACACTACCTCACAGAGGTGTTGTAAGAATTAATGACATCGCGTCTGGTGCACGGTAAGTGCTCAATAAATGTTACCTATTGTTACGTGGGAAAAAATGCTTTGTCAACCATAAAATGCTATACAAATATTTATATTGTGTAATTTTTTAAAGTACCATCATGATTAGATCCTGGTTCTTGAGGCTTGCAATGCAGCCCTCTTTGCAACATGCCACACTATGCCTATTTCATGCACTATTACTTTAAATTGAACCTTTTTTCAATAAACTGCATTATATGTACTTGTTCATAAACAATATTTTTGTGCATGGGTGCTGTGTATTTCTCAGATATTTCCATAATACATATACACAATGTAACACACAAACATAGATTTTTCTTTTAAGAGCAAAGCTTGAACAGTTTCTCTTGAATTTTATTCTGTCATTTGACTACATTACATTTCTGATGTTCAATTTGCACTGAGTACATTATGGACTTCTCTAGGGAACAGAAAGAATTTTTTTAAGTAAACATAAAATGCTTTGATAAATCAAAACATGTGAATGAGATTTCTGTTAAAAATGTTCCAATCTGTTTTGAGACTAGAAATAAAGCTGTATTTAACATAATAAAAACCCATCAACTTAAAGGCAATAACAAAATAACAACAATATATTTCATACAGAAATAATGCATAGGGCATATTTTAAAAGGTTATACAAATGGACTTCAAAAACTTCATGGAAAATAGAATTACATGTTAGTGCACATTTTGCATGAACTTTTTGAAACCCTCTTATATAAAATAAAATGAAATATTGGAATTTAGAAGCTGTTTTTAAAGGTGGGGGTAGTGGGTGTTGTGGTGTAGCCCACATCCCATAGCAGAGTACTTATTCAGCTCCCAGCCACTCAGGGCTCCCAAGCTTCCCACTGATACACCCTGGGAGGCAGCTGATGACTGCGGAAGTGCTTAGGTTCCTTCAACTCCCCTGAGAGACCCGGATGGATTTCCTGGCTATTGGCTTCAAACTGCTCCAGACCTGGCTGTTGTGGAATTTGGGGGACTGAATCATCAGATGGAAGATCTCTCTCTGTCTTTCCCTTTCTCTCTGTCACTCTGCCTTTCAAATAAATAATACATTTTTTAAGCTGTTAAAGTCTGTGTTATCTGATTTAAGCTGGCAGTGAGTATAAACTATTTGGAATTCATACATAACAGCTTATATCATAAACTTGCCATAATATCACTCATGCTGAAAAGTTGATAATATCCCAAGTATCATGGAATCTCACCTTAATGTTAGCTGCATGAGAACAGGGACCTTGCCTGGTCCATTCACAGTTGTATTCCCAACATCTACAATAGCATCCAATATATGGAGAGGAGAGAGAGAGAGAGAGAGAGAGAGAATATCTTCCATCTGCTGGTTTATTCCCCAGATGGCTATAAGATCCTGGGCTGTGTCAGGCCAAAGCCAAAGGCCAGGAACTCTATCTGGGTCTTCCATGCAGTGGCAGGACCCCAGGCACTAGGTCATCTTCCACTGCTTACCCTGGCAGATTAAGAGGGAGCTGAAGAGAAGCTTAGCAGCTGGGACTTGAACCAGTGCTCATATGAGCTGCCAGTGTCTCAGGGGGCAGCTTATCCCACTGTGCTACAACAGTACAACAGCAGCCCCCCAATAAATATTTATTAAATAAATGAATAATACATATAGATATTCAGTGACTTTTTTTTTTTTTACAATCCCAGTAATAAAAATTCCAGATACACAAAAAACAATTAGGGATTTTTTTTTTTTTTTTTACAAAAGGCTCCTTGAGCTTGCAAGTTTGGTCCAGGTCAAAGTGAAATAGACTGGAGATCTAAAGCTCTCAACTCAGCTAACCAACCAGCTGCGTGTTGTAAGTCACACAGCCATGCCATTTCATTTCTCTGAGTTTCTCTTTCTTCACTCTGGAAAGGTATGGGGCATGAGACAGGGAAGGCTGGAACTAATGTTTCTGAGGGTCCTTCTAATTCTAAAATCCTATCACATTGTGAGATATAAAGCGTCACCTCAGGACATTTATGTGTATGTTTGCTCAATTTTATTGTGATGAAAATAAAGAAACTTGTAGCTGAATCACTAATTCAGAAGAGACTGTTGGCTATCCTACAAAACCAGCTCTCTCCTTCTTTTCGTGTATAGAGCTAGGCCACATTACCCATTGCTATGGTTTGGATATTGTTTGTCCTCCAAAATATTCATGTGTTGGAACCTTGGGCTCCAGGGTAATGGTATTGGGAGGCGGTAGGATCTTTAAGGCCTAGTGGAGGAGCCTCGGGTCACTGGTAGCACTGCACTGGAAGGGGGTAGGGTATTTCTTGTAGGACTTTCTTTAGTCCTTGCAAGAGGATTGTTATCAATCCAGAGCCTGGCCCCACCCTGTCTCTCTCTGGTTTCCTGTGTCCAGATAGAATATCATTCCTCTTACACACATTCCTATCATGAGCCATAGGGTCCCTCTCAGAGCTGGTACCATGTTGTTTGAACTTTTTAATTCATTTGTTTTAATTACAATCCGTAATAATAATATCAGTCTATTTTACAAGTTAAGTGTATGAGAATGTATGAAATAGAAATGGTAGGAAAAAACTAGGCGTGGGTCAGGAATACGAAGTTTTCCAAAACCAAGGGCCCAAGGAAGAGGCAGGGAGGCAGCAGGTAGGCATCTGCTCGTGGTAGGTCCTCCCTCGTGTCTGCACGGGAAGTAGTCGAGGCACGGCCCCTGCCTCGGTCTGGGGTTGGGTGTTTAGTCTGGTCAGTGAGAAAAAAGCCATCTGGTTACCTACACTGAGCTGGTCCCCTGGTGGCCGCAGGTGGGTTCTGCCATAGAGGGAATCAGGGGTGAAGTGCCAAAAATCAAAGGTGTGGAGGAAAAAAGAGTAGTTTCCTCCTCCCTCCCATGACCCCCAAATCTTGAAATGCACACACATTCTTCTCTCAGACGTAGAAAAGTCTCACTCTGGATGTGCTTACAAGAAGATCGTCGTCAAAAAACTTTGTTTCTATGATAACGTTCCCAGTTAGGACGCTTGCTGGCATCATCTGGGACTCGGGTGCTGCCTCTATCAGGGACTGCCAGGTATTTGTGGAGTTGGGAATCACAAAGCCAAATTCGAAGAACCATTCTTCTAGGCACTGCCCTTTGAAGTAAACTTTCTGCTCCAGGCGGAATTTCTCCATTTGCTCTGCTGAAGAGAAGTTCAGCTCTCGGGACACTGCTTTGCACTTGAGGATTTTCTTGGGAACACGGGCTTCATGTTCCACCCCAGGGACGGACAGGTCTTCAGTTCCTTGCCAGAGTATCTTCCCTGTCTCTGCATCCCGCAGGTTCATCCAGTTTCTGATCAAGCCAAGCACCAGGAACCAGCCACGCGGAGGAGCATCTAGGCCAAGAAGCCTAGGGCAGGTGGCCCAAAGGCCATGCGCCCTGGAGGTGCAGGGCTATAGCAAGCCCCCTCCTGGCAAGAGGCCAGGGCGGAAGCAAAGGGCCATGTTGTTTGAACTTGCTGCCTCCAAAACTATGAGTTAATAAATTTCTTTTCTTCGTAAATAGCTAGCTTCAGGTATTTTGTTATAGTAACAAAATGCTGACTAATACACCAATTCTTTTTCAGTGAGGTAGCTAGTGAAAATGTCGCCTGTTCCAATACTGTGCAATGCATTCACTGTTTTATGTCTTATTTCCCCTTCCTAGAGATCAGAATGCTCTTTGGTTTATGAAAGATTCTGAGAAATTCTGAAGTAGTCTATTTGCAGTATTTAACCTAAATGTTTCAAAGTCTATTGGCATTCTATGAAATGGGTGTTCCATGGAATATACAGGGAGAAATGCAGGGTTAGATCACTTCTCAAATCTCTTCATGCATCTACAGTTCAAATGTCTGGAAATAAGTAAGAAACACACTTATTCATTTATTAGATAAAAGTGAGTTAACCTGGTGCTTCTTAAACTGTAATATACAGACAGATCACCTGGGAATCTCATCAAAATGCAGATTCTGATCCAGAAAATCGGTGTAGGGCCTGATATTCTGCATTTCTAAAGAGCTCCCAGGTGATTTTAATGCTGCTGGCCCACAGACCATTCTTTGAGTAGCAAGGATCTAGACAACATAAGTACTAATCATACTTGTGTACATTGTTCATTGCTTTTAGTCAATTGATAGATGAGGATATGTTACTGCAAGTAAGTTTTAATTCTGTATTTAAAGACCCATTGGGAGCAGCGCTGTGATAGTGGGTAAAGCCGCTGCCTGAAGTGCCGGCATCCCACATGGGCGTCACTTCGAGGCCCGGCTATTCCACTTCCAATCCAGCTCTTTGCTATGGCCTGGGAAAGCAGTGGAAGATGACCCAAGTCCTTGAGCGTGAGAGGTCCGGAAGAAGTTCCTGGCTCCTGGCTCCAGATCAGCACAACTCTGGCCACTGCAGCCATCTGGGGAGTGAACCAGCGAAAGGAAGACACCCCCCTTCCACACCTCCGCTTCTCCTTCTCTCTCTGTGCAACTCTTTCAAATAAATAAATAAATCTTTAAAGAGAGAGAGAGAGACATGTTCTGAATTTGCTGCCTCACAGTAGACAACATCAGAATGATTTCAGAATTTCTCACTATGGCCTGATGAACTCCGAACATGTTTATTTATTAGAAAAATGTACGAGAATCTGTTTGGGATTCTGCACCATCATGAAATCTCTTCCCAATTTAGAAATTTAAACAGGGACAGGGTTTTCAATAAAGACACTGATGAGCAGTTTGTAATTCAACCCAGCAGATTAATCCAGCACGCTCTGGATGAGAGATGACTAAAGTATTTTCTCTCTGAAAAAAAGCACGCCCACCCCCTTTTTTGTGTGTTCTAGTTCAGATCTCAACTTCTTTGGCCTATGTTTCAAGAATCACCTTTACTACTGTGCTCTAACAGTTCTACAGCAAACTTTTGTCAACAAAACATAAAGGCATGTGAGATCAAGTAGAAAGGTTATAAGGAGATGAGCTTCCAGGAGCATGAAAACTTAATGAAGTTACTTCCAACAATAAAAACGAGGCAAAGTTTGGCAAGTGCTAATTAAGGAGTTTGACATGTGTGAATCTGTTTCCAATTATGAAATCTGAGTCCAATAATGCATTCTTTGAACTTATTTCCAAAGTAACATATTTGGTTTTATGACAAAATTTCATACCAATCCCTAAATAAAAATAATTTGTAACTTTAATGATGTATGAGAGGGAAAATATCAAAGGCACATGACATGCTTTCAATGAAAACTAATAAAAATGATTTAAAATTGTAAGTATCTGGGGGAAATTCATGGTATAACATTATCCAAAGTAAAAATACAAGAAAATATCTCCTTTCTGTGAGTAGACAAGGAAACAGAATAAGTTTTGTATATGGGGTCATAAAACCAGTAGTGAATTTTCCTTTTATTTAGAGATCTGTTAACACTGTATTTCCACTATTAGTGGAGATCTATTTAAAATAAGTCTATTAAGCTAGCTCTTGCTAATGAGTCTGCGGAATCAGTACTAGTTAGGTCAATGGGACTTAGAAAAGTACCATATTTTTTAATATATTGAAGTGATAAAATGCTGGTTAATCAGAACTTTGTCAATGCAATGTACAAGACTAAACTGTACATAGGAAATAGAAAACTCATCAGAAAATAGATGGCACTCTAGGGTAAATGTTGTATGGAGTTTAATAGTACTATTTATAAAGGTGTGGGCAACGTATAGGGTAGGCATGGAAACGGCAGTTCCAGGGGGAACGAGGCAGCAGGCAGAGAACTGTTTCCCATTGGGCCTGAAGGAGCAAGGATGGGGCAGTCAGTGGAAGCCAGGGGACTCCGAATGGGAAGGGCCACCAAAGGGAGGGAAGCATGAACAGCATCCTGAGATGGGAGCGTGAAGAGTACGCAAACCTCACATTCATCATGCACCCTAATCATTGATCTCAACCAGAGCCACAGGGGCCTAGTCATACAGATCATCCCCCTGGGCCCACAGCAGCATAGAGAAGGGCTGAACATGGATTTGAGGTACACGCAGACAACAAACAGGGAAAACAGGCTCTACAGCAGTGCTGAAAGAGGATCTGGGCATGTACACGTGAGTTCACAGGGGGCTTATGCTAAGGGCTTCAGGATAACGCTAATAAAGAAAAATAGACCGAAAGGCCCTTCTGAAAACCTGGAGTATTGCATAAACATGTTTATTGCTCCTTATGTGCAAGTGTACCCATGCTATGTTTGTTTGGCTGAAATAAAATGTTCTAAGACATCCTGAATGTTTCTTTGCTTTAATAATAGGAGAGAATTAATAGCAAGAGAGAATGATCTTAAAATTAGTAGGATCTTTTCAGACTTTTGTTAAAAAATTTCTCCTGAACACACTTCCGTGTGTCAGATTCTATATATACATACACACATACATAATTAATAAGTCATCCATTTGCCCTCATGGAGACTTTCTTGAACTCTGTGTGTATGTGTGTGTTTGTGTGTGTGTTAAATGTATACACTGTTGATGATGGTGGTGGTGAATATGGTGATAACAACAGCTATTTACTGAAAGCTTACTGTGTGCAAAAGTACCAAGGAAGTAGGTATTACTATTATCTTCACCTTAACATTATATAGATTTAAAAAAAAAAAACTGAAGTGCAAGGAAGTCCACTGATGTATTAAAATCAAATCACTAGAAAGGACTGAGGTTTGGAGGCAGGCAGATGACAGAGCCTGAATCTTTAGAAACCCAATTTTCTTTCTCTATGGAAAAGTGCATTATGTTTCATTTTGATATTGAAAAAGCTGATTGGTGGTCTTTAAAACTTACTCTTGAACACCGGTCAAATAAAACATAAAACTGCCAAAGATGATGGAAAAGCAAGAGGAAAAAAACAGTAGAGGCAGAGTAAACTAAGGGGAGATAGTAGATGAGGAAAGTTCTACACGATTTCAGTGCACTTGCCTGCTCCTGCCACTCACTGACGTTCTCCATTGTGTTTTTCCATATGAACTGGTATTTGTCTTTCTTGAATGATTGCTGCAAACATTTGAGAGCTAAGTTTGATCATTTTATTTAATCTGTATTAAAGTCCTACATACAAAACTCTGATAGAATGGTTTTGCCATGAGCTTTACACTTATCTCATGTTAGATGTGTTCAAGGAAATTATAAGAAATATAATAGAATTGTGTGATATGCATAGGGCCACATTAATGTGTCAGTGCAAACCTGCTATACTAATTGTTGAGATAATTCTTATAAAGCATACTGATCAACGAAACCAGTGACTATTCATATCACTCAGATTTCAACGCTTAAAACATTACAAATAAATTATAAGTCTCACTATACTTTGCAATTTCAAGGGACAAGTAGCCAATTATAGATGACTCAGGCTTCTCCACAGAAGAAGTGTCTCCATCTCTGGACTGCTTTGCCCATTTTTCTACTCATCAGATGGCTGTCCAAAAATATATATAAAAACGGAACCCCTTCAATAAGTTAATTTAATGACCTGCTAACAGCTTTGACAAAAAGGTTGGTGATAAAATTAAGATATTTATGCAAAATGACATATTGAGGTTAACAGTAGGATTCAATTATCCATGATATCCATTAGCACGAAGGCTGAGTAGTTGCTGTAAATTTCCTAAAGTTTGGCCTGGCCCATAGCTTAAACCATATTTAGCAGAGACGAGAAAGAATTCACTGGCTTCAAGCTGATCTGATTTGCCTGGTGGCTGTATGCCAGTCTGCTGGTACAGATGTGTGAACCAGGCTGCCGAGGACAACCCTGTATATCCCTCAGCTTTGCCAGGTGCCAGGAGAGATGTCATCTGGGCCAGGTCTCGGTTTCTGCGATAACTTTCTGTAGTGACCATTTGTTGTTTTTGCCTCTCTGGGATCCCCTTCTCTTGTTTTCTAGGTTATAAGGCTTCACATTTCCTTTGGGAAGCTAGTCTAGCACCAATCTCATATCACATAGTTTGAGATGGATTATGCAATCTATGCTTAGACTAACAAAGCACTGAATTTCCTTAGCCACATTGATTTGCTCAAAGCTGGGCACATGAGCCAGGTCTACTCTAGCATTAAAATTCCATCCATCTGGCACATTGATTGTTTTATAGTTGTGCACAAACCATCATAGTTGATTCTGGGTGTTAGGAAGGTTCACCAGTAAGAGAATCTTTTCTGTCAAGATGACTGGCATTAACAATGATGTAATCTTAGAGCCATAGGGCACCCACAAGGAGTTCAAGAATGAAGCTCATGAATGTAGTACAGAGAAAGTCAAGAAACTAACACCTGATAAGATTGGGCACTTGGATTAAACTTTGCCTGAAGA